AATATATATACCATATATATATATATATATATACACACACACACACACACACACACACCATATAAAGGTTTGTACCTTTTACATATATGGAGCCAAATGAAATTAGTAAGTATAAAAGATACATTTTCTCTAAAAATTTTTTCAAAATGTTTTTTCTTGGAGAAAGTTTAAGTAGATTTTTTTCATCTGCATGGGTCACTTCAAACATTGTTTTCATTGCTATGAAAGCATCTGAAAACATATTGATAATGAAAAAATTTTTGTGCCTACAAAAATAATACATGCATTATTCCAAACTTTAGGGCTGGAAAAGTAGCTCAGTGGGCCCTGGACTTGAACCCCAGCATTGCTCCCCCCAAAAGCTCCCAAAACTTCAATATTACAGAAAGATTTAATATTGAAATTTAAAATATCCATAATCCTACTTTTCAGAAATAACCATCATTGTTTGGCATGTATAACTTCAGATTTTTTCTATGTATATAATAATGACATATGTATATATAATAACATACTTTATATTTTAAAAAGAAATTTCTGTTATACACCCTCTTTTGCAACTGACCTTTGGCACTTAACAATATAATTTAAATACATTTCCAATGAAATACTTAAAAAATTATAAAATATTCATGCCATAAAATTCACCATCTTGGGCTGGGGATTTTTTAGCTCAGTGGCACCATGCCTGCCTTGCAAGTGCAAGGACCTGAGGTTGATCCTTGGCACACACACACACAAAAAAAAAATCACCATCTTAAGCTAGGTGTGGTAGTGCAGATCCGTAATCTGAACACTCTGGGATGCTGAGTCAGGAGGGTGAGTTTGAGACCAGTCTGGGCAACTGAGTCAGACCCTATCTCCAACCATAAAAAAGAAAGAAAAGAGGAGGGAAGGGAAGGGAACAGGCAAAAAGGGACAAGATGAGATAAAAGCTGAAGACGGAGCTCAGTGAGAAGACCCTGAGTTTAATGCCCACTACTACAAGAAAAAAATTTTTTTTTAATTTCTTTTCCTGTGTTGAACATTGAACTCTGAGGCATTCTACTAGTGAGCCACAAATTCACATCCTTTTCTGTTTTCTTTTTTATTTTATTGGCAGCACTAAGGATTGAACCCAGGGCCTTAGCATTAAGCTACATCTCTAGAGCTTTTATTTTGAGACAGGATCTTGCTAAGTTGCTAAATTGCCCAGCTAGGCTGGAATTTGCATCCCCCTCTTTAGTCTCCAAGAGGGCTGAGATTACAGGTATGCACCCCAAGGTTGGTGTTTTGTTTTGTTTTGTTTTTTGAGATAGATGCTTAAGACCAGAAGTGTTTTAGATTTAAGGTTTTTAAAAAGTTTAGAATGTTTGCATATCTTGGGGATGAGACACAAGTCTAAGCATAGAATCCATTTATGTTTCATTTATGTCTTACATACACAGCCTCGAGGTAATTTGATGCACTATTTTAGCCCATCTGTGTCTTGATTATGTCTCTTCACTTGAGGTCAGGTGTGGAATTTTTCACTCAGTGTATCATCTCCGTGCTCAAAAGTTTCCAGTTTTGGGGCAGGTCGGATTTTAGATTTTTTCATTAGGAATGCTCATCTTGTCCTACCAAGACTTGCGCAAGAAAATGATAAGCAAAAATGTTGACCAAAGATCGAAGCTTTGATGAAGAGTAGTGAATGACTGAGGAAGCTGTGGGATAATTGGAGTGTCAGCCACAAGGAGTTTACACTTGAGCTGCTGGATATGGTGACAGTGGGATACTTAAGGGGAAGATTAAGAGGAAAACTGGCCTTCAGGAAACATTTCTGAGACAGCATGGATATGCCAGGTGCTAGGAGCATGGTGGTGACCGGAACAGACACAGCACCGGCCTCTGTGGAGAGCACACCGGGCTTTACTTAGGCAATGTGGACCAGGGCAGAGAAAAGCTGGAAGAAAGAGGGAAACCTCAAATATGAGGCCACAAGCGTGGAACTGTCTTTGAGGAAAAAGAAGATGTAGGCCTTCATGCCAGATACCAAGAACTAGGGGATGTCAGAGGAAGGTGAAGTGAACTTAAGCATCTGAGCTGAGGGAATGTACATGAAAATGAGGAGGAAGAGAACGAAATTTGGATCTGACAGAATAAAATGGCATGGATTTTATAGGTAGCTCAATAAAGAATAAAACAACAAGAAGTTGACCTGGTTTTAAACAAGATAAAGGATTTGAATTTTCGTTTCTGCAGAGATGCAAAAGACCAATGAAGAGTTGAAAAGATGCTCAATATAGTTAGTCATTAAGGAAAAATAAGTCAAAGCAGAACCACAGTGAGATACCTCTTCCTACCTACTGGAGAAGCATGATAGTAGTTTTTATAAATATCAAATATGGATGATATGGGGAAATTGGAACTTCATACCTATTTTGCTCGTGGGAATGTATACTGATACAACTGTTTTGGAAAGCAGTTCAACAGTTCTTCAGAAAATTAAATATAGAATTGCACATGACCCAGCAGTTTTTAAGGGGCAAATTGGCTGATGAAGTTTGGAAAGGTTTATGGCGTTTTGAGTCTGTACACTCAAATGGGGAGAATGTCACAACCATTGGCTACAGATTGAACAAAACTGTGAATTTTAATTATCTCATTAGTCACATCTGTAGGAGGTCAGTTTATGCCCAGATACTTTATAGACAGCCAACTTCAGTCTAAACACATCCATTTACTGCTGTTTAAATTATAATTTGGGGTTGGGAGGGTATAACACAGTGGTAGAGTGCTTGCCTCGCATTTGCTAGCGTTTGAGTCCCCACGCCTGTTAAATAATTATAGTTTTTAATTCAAAATAAGAAGAGAAAAAACAAAGATGCATTTCAAACTTCCATTGTTGTCAAGGTTTTATGAAACTGGTGGGACTTGAATTTTGTGTGTGTGTGTGTGTGTGTGTGTGTATTGCTAGGAAATGAACCCAAGACTTGTGCACAGTAGGCAAGTGCTTTACCTTGGAGCACTATTTTCTATATATGTTAATATAAAATTTAGAACTCTGGGCATCTCTTGTTTTAAAAGTAAGATTAATTACACTTAATGTTAGTCCAGTGTAAAGCTATGTATATAGTTAGTTCACAGCCATACTTTGTCCAGTCTTGCCATTTTTTTTCCAGTATGTGCTAAGCAAGCACTCTGCCATTGAGCTCCCTCCACAGCCCTAAACTAAGCCATATTTTCTAATCGTTGCTGCTGAGCTTAGATCACTGGGAAGGGAAAAGACAGTAGTCCAAGGAGAGCAGCACCAGTGAAAGCACAGAAAAGGGCTGGAGAATTCACTGCACATACAGAGGAAGGTAAAGAAACTGCCTGGGCCACAGCAGAGAGCTATAAAAAATAAAGTGAGGCTAGCATAAGGGAGGCTTCAGAAAGGAGGCTCAGGAGTTAGAACTGACTCAGTGGAAAGTTGGCTGCAGTTAGAATTTGAGAAGAGTGACATAATGAAAGTCCTGATTGGGAAGGTGGCAGGACTGCCGGAGAGGACAGAGGACAAGGACAGACATTTAGCTGTTGTGATTATCTCTGTGGGACCTGCTCTCGTGGTTTAGAGTTATACTACCTTCAACAAAGCCTACATTTGTTTTCACATAACACTCGAAAAAGTTTTAATTTGGAAGCTGGAGGAAAGGGAATTCACACATCTCGAGTCCTCGAGTGCCACACATTGCTTGAAGCAATATAGTATCATACTCAGTCCACCCAGGACAGCTCTGTTGAGGTAGCTATTATTACCATCCCCATTTTAGAGAGGAGGAAACTGAGTCAGCTAGTGACAATCATGAAATGAAAGTCAAACTTCAAACCCATGTCTGACTTCAAAGCTGTTTTCCTTTCTACAATACCAAGGCTTTTTCAGAGTATGTGGGTCAAATAACGCTATTTTCTGTATTAGTGAATTTTGATCCAAAATATTACCTTTCTCAGACCTAACTACTGTTTCTGTGTTTAGTTGTTCAGTCGCCTACGCAAGAAATGGCAGCTCTTCCATCAGCATCAGAAGGCCCGAGGAAGCTGTCCTATCTCCATTGTCGGCATCTTTGGAGGACACTGGGTTGCCTTCCTATGAACAGGCAATGGAACTGAACAGAAAACATAACGTTTCACCGCCACCACCTTATCCTGGGCTGGCAAAAGGATTCAGGGTATTTAAAAAGTCTATGTCAGTCCCATCTCACTAAGCCCACCCTGCCATCTCAATACAAGAAATTTGTGTTATTCAAATGGTTCATCCTCTCTGAACCAAAAAAGACAAGACTATTCAGTGACAAATTTCAAGGAACAAAGGAGGAATAAGCATATGAATGGTATCATAGTTCCGTTTACATCTTGGACTCAAACTTGATCATTACACCTTGCTAAGAGATTTTTGACTCTATATCCATACAGTAAAGAAGAAAGCACTCTTTTGGTAATGTATATTCTAATGGTTCAAAAATCTTTGTTATAGATTATCAGAGCCAGGGAATTGTTTGTGTCCTTTGTACAAAGATTGTAGGTTTCTTGTGTTGAATATGTAAAAAGTAAGAATTTCTAATCATCCACAATATCCCAGATTGATACTGGACCTACTTTCTATTAAGTTTGGGGAGATGAGAAGCACTTCACAGAATCTGGCATTTCAATATAAATCTTTAAGTAATCACTTGGTGTAATATTTTGAATTATTGTGTAGCAGTTACTACATTTTTCAGGGTTTAGTTCTTAATTCTTTTGTTTTAGTTCTTAACTCTTGTTGTCAGTCCTGTTTTATTATAATAAGCATGGTCAGTAGCTTTCTTTTTCTAAAAAATACTATTTTCTATGAAGTTAGTTTTTCAGATGGGTTCCAATGACACAGATTTGCAAAGATTATGTTATCAGTAAATATGCCTCTCGCCTATCTATCACTTATTAGAACTGATAAAGTTACCTATATTACTGAGGAGTATATGTGCTGTCATTACTAAATTATCTATACCTACATCTATTTATATCTCTGTATGTCTATGGAGTATATGTGAGTCTGTTCTTTTACGAAGATAAAAAAAATAATGTACCCCTAAAAAATAGAACAGGAATTCTGTTCTTTATGACTTTGCCAGGTACTGCATTTTTCCTGTTATTTTAGATCATTTAGAAAATGTTATTTTGTTTTATAAGTTTTACAGAGGTGTGAGTTAAACCCACATGCATTTGATAATTCCTACTAAATTAAATGTTTAGAAAGTATACATCATATTACAATGCATGTGTGAGTATATGAGTCTCTCCGCCCCCCTTTTTTTTTTTCCTTAATGTACTGAGGGGTGAACCTTGGGCCTTTACACTGAGCTGCATTCCCAGCCCTTTTTTAATATTTTGAGACAGGGTCTCACCAATTTGCTGAGTTACCCAGGCTGGGCTCAAACTTGTGATCCTCCTGCCTCAGCCTCTCAGACTGCTGGGATTACAGGCATATGCCAAGATACTCAGCTATAGGTCTCTCTTTTATAAGGCAGTATGATCTTCATTAAGGCAGATCAAAGTAAAGCCTTAATCATTAGATCCTGCAAAGACTTTATCCTTTTAGATTCTCAGACTCTCTGGTAGCCTATTATAATAAATCATCTAACAGCATGTAGGTTTAATTAGGAAAAGTGACTTTTTAAAAAGCTACCCACATTATAAAATTTGCTATCTCTTGACTTGATGTAATTATTTGTTCTCTTATAGGTATGCACCTTGCACTCATTTTACCATCTTTAAAAGGTTACAAAATGGACTTTACTCAGAACTAGGGCATAATTGAAATCTAACTAATTAGAGCCGGGTTTAGAATGAACAAACATACTTTTCTAGTTCCATCTCATACCTACAGAATTATACTGCCTCCAATTATATGCCAGGGATCTTGTTACTTAATTCTAAATCCATGATGGAAATTTACAAGTACTTTTCATATATATATAGATATATTACATATATGTATATGCATATATATTCTTACACATGTGAGAAATACATGGGTAATTTGAAATAAAAGATACATGTGTATCTTTTACTGAATCATAACTTGAAATGTTCCACAAACTCATTTACTTCTATTGACTCCCAGAAGCCTAACTACAAAACTAGCCTCGGAACCCGTGACAACCCCACCCCGACAGCGGCCTACTCTGTTGTCCGCCATTGCTTAGGGCAAGACAGATGTTAGAATCTGAGTGACTCTAGAATTCGTCTTTGGGATTGTGGTTATTGGTATTTATAGAGCGTCCAGTGTTGAGACTGTGATACTTTAAGTATAAAAAGGAAAAATGGGATAGAACCATTGCTGACAGATGCTCACAGTGACTGACAGAAAAATATCTCAATGTTTTGAGGTCTGGTTCCCTCTCATCCACCTTTTTCTATTCCTGTCATATGTTTGATTGTGGATTTGCAGTTTGGTCTGATTGGTCTATTTTGTTTGGGCTTCTTCTCCAGGCAATTGATTACTGTTAATCATCAAATCTATATTCACACATAGTTTTACCATATAATTAGAACAGTTTTCTGCTCTATTACAGTTAGGAAATGAATGGAACATGAGTATAAAAGGAGAACTGGACTGGAAAGAGACAAGTACACATTTATGAGGTTATTCGTTTAACAGATAATTCTACATAGAATATCCTCTTTTGAGAATGAAAACAAAGCACAAGCTCTTTGTCAAAGTTTTTATCTATTAATAATGTACCCTCTAAAAGCCAGGCATGGTTGTGCAAACCTGTAATCCCATCACTCAGAACGCTGAGGCAGGAAGATCCACTAATTCAAGCTAGCCTGGGACCCGCAGTGAGACCCTGTCTCAAAAAAAAAAAAAAAAAAAAA